TACCCCAAAAAGTATGCGTGAACATCAAGTTTGATTCCCAAGTACATTTATAAAAACATCAAAACCGTTGGAATGGGGTTAAATTTGCTAAGATGAATTTGACTAAAGATAAAATGATGGCTTGTTATAATTGGTATTTCTTGGAAGTGTCTTCTTAATGTGTATCACAGTTATAATTTCAAAATGGCTACTTCAAACAATATTTGGTGCAACATTTCCAATACGCTGTACATCCAAAATTGTTTGTACTATTTACAACTATATTTTCACTGGTAATATGGGTCCAATGTTCGTGCTATTTGGTCGCATGTGAATGGGTGATTTTCCTTACAATTGCGAGATCTCGCGAGATGCATGAAAGACGCGCGTCGAACGTCTGCCGCAAAAATCGAACGATTAACTGATCAAAACAAACAGAAATGTACACACACCCAACAGAAACACAAGAACTGTATTTCAACTGTTGTATGTACACACTCAATAGAAGCACAAGTACTGCGTTTTCCCCATTGCAACGCATACCTTGGCTGGTTGGCGGTAAATAAACCGTTCACACCCTGGGACAAGTAGCCAGGAAGCTGGCGAATTGCCGTGCATGTCATAAACGTTGGTAATTTACCAGTATGCAACATACAACAGTACAGTGCGCTTGCGCAGAATTCTTTGTCGCCATTGTTTTAAAACGGGGGGGGGGGGGGTCGTTCCATGCGCACGCGCAGGAATTCAGTCTCAAGTGACGATAACAACACAAGCTAAAACCGCAAAGGGTCATGGGTAGACGCTTGTTTGCAAACAATGACACGCTATGACACGGTCTTTGTTAGCTGTGGAATCATATGCCAATTTTGGTCGTCGCGAAAATCACTTTTTAAGACCAGCAAACATGCTCACTGTGTTTATTTACCTCCAGACAACAAAAGTAACAAGACGAAATACGTCATTTTAAACCCCAGACTTCATAGCAAATTACGCGAGTCATATAATTGTGTACCATATAACATTTATTTGCATATCGCCAAACAATCCTACCAGCGCTTGCTAACATTTTCTTGTCAAACAATTGTGTTTCTTCTTGTATTTCATTTGAATATTTGACGCAGGTATACTGTGCGACATTTCATATATGGGTAGTTGATTAAAACCAACTTAGCCATTTACAGCACATTGGGATACCTAATTATGCCAATTAAAGTCATGACTGCCTATTTATATGTGTAATGGAATACAAACTAACATCTTACTGATGACATCAGCACTACTTAGCGTGTCAAATAAATTGTCAATACAGAAATAATTCAATGATGTTCCCCCATTATGTTTGATCATTTGGTTTTACTGTATCACATTAGTAAATTGTCATTGGTTCATTTATTTTAGTTGAGTTGTCTTGTTCGTATAATATTAGTGTAATGAGTGTCTTCAAACGACATTTCCACACATTCCTTAGATGCATTAGTTTTCAATACATATTTTCGTTCCCGTCGATCTTTAGTATTCATCTTTGATGGGTCAACGCACTCTGTCAATGTTTCTTGCAGTTTACCCCGAAACTGTTGTAAGTCTTCCTCGAACGTAGGTCCGTACTCGGCTATCTTCTCCCACAGTGTTCTGTTGAAATGCTGATAAAGTAGCAAATCTCCCCTATTCCATTTTAGGATTTTGTCACGTGTCTGTTGCGTCATTGTATGTCGTGAAGTACCCAAACATTTAGAGATGTAAACAATATCGTCCATACTCCAACACAATTGTTTCTTCATTATCAGTAAAGACTCATCAAAGTATTCTGTGATGAGAACGAGGTCCATCTCCTTGCCCAGAATTTCAATGTGTTTGTAGACTAGGTCATCTGTTATAACATTATTCTCTGTTTTGAATCCAAGGTCATAGAGCTGCCCATTGTGGCTTTGCCATTTTAACCTTACGTTTCCTTTTAGATATTTCGATGGTTCTTCCATGAACGTGTCAATTACATCTTCTTTATTGGGACGAGGTACTTTGATAGCCTTTCCCCACCGGAAGTAGCTGAAAGCGGACACAAGCTGATTCACAGGATGACGTAATACAGTGACGTAAGTTGCATTGGGAATAACAGCCTCCATTTCATTTCGATTATAACCCACGTGATTAGTTAGCAGGTCGTAATGTTTCCCGCCATTTAGTGGTGGGTATTTGATGTTATTCACCATGCTACGTTTAAATTCTTTTTTACTAGAAAAAACGTGCGTTTTCAGCGGAACAGCAAACGACAAGTAATGTGAGTAACCAAATCGCTGTATGATGGAAGCCAACGTGCTGCTTGCAGTTTTGTGAGTTTTAATGAAAACCACTCTCGTGACTAGTTTACGATCAGTGTTAACATTTCTGAAATAGACAAGAACAATATATAATAAGTATATAACATCATATTCTTTATTAACCATATTTGCATTGGCCGGGAACTTGTTTAATCCTCTACTGTGTTTTATGTATATCGCCAATATGTCACCTCTTACACTGATACGCACTATGATATAACACACGTGTTTTATGTATATCGCCAATATGTCACCTCTTACACTGATTTGCACTATGATATAACACACGTGTTTTATGTATATCGTCAATATGTCGCCTCTTACACTGATTTGCACTATGATATAACCCACGTGTTTTATGTATATCGTCAATATGTCCCTCTTACACTGATACGCACTATGATATAACACCACGT